GCGTGGTTTCTTCTTCAATAGTCTCAAGTTTATCCTCAATTCGCCTGGTTTCATCTGGCTCACGACCTTCTTCGAGTTCAATTTCTTTTTTATTAGAGTCTGTTTGCTCGTCTTGAATTACGGTCGTTTCGACTATAGGTGGTTGATGAAATTCTTTGACGTCAACGTGTTTTTCATCAGAGTTGGTTTTCCCAACTTGAATTACCACATTATAATCAATTTCGGTCTTAAGTAGCTGATAAAAGTCTTTTAATAAATCTGAATGAAAATTATATGACATTTTTTTCTTTATCAGTTACAATGAATTGGGAGGAAAATGAAGGGAGGAAAGGTATAATTTAATAAAGAACGAATTTTCAGTAAAAAAGATGATAAATTCCAGTTTCCAGTTGGAAATTCCTCAATGAACTCCGAATAAAAAAGAGAATGATCGACCAATCTGAAACTAGTAGGTTTAGATTACATAATCATTTCACATGACTTATCCTCGCTTCTTTTTAAAATTCTTTTGCGTTCGAAATATATGAATCAATCAGAAAGAGGATAAATTAACCAATTATTAAGGAAATTTATTACCGTAAAGGTCGAACAGTGCGACCTAATGAAAACGAAAGATTTACAACGAATTAATTTGTTACTGATCGACGATGCACTCAAATAAACAAACTATCAAGGTTTTCGTTTAATATAGAAATAATAGAAAGATTTCTGTCTTGTAACATGAATTCATGCTTTAATTGATGACGATTGATATCGTTCTATAAAACGAACATGTTGTGATTATAAAACAACCAATTAAATTTCAATCAGGTGAAAACTCACCGCATTTTTCGCCATCCATTTATTGGACTGATCATTGTTTAATTTTTCTTGGAACAATGTCGTGTGAGATATGACAATGCTCTTTGTAAATGTAATTTAAGTTTTACAGTTTCATATTAAATAAACCCTATTATAACAGGTTTAAGAACTGATAAATATTTGATCGGCGAATCACCTATTAAATAATATTAAATCATTCAGAATTTTTTATTTTTTTTCTGTAACACGGCATTTTATTAAAGCATTTAAATTTTTTTTTTTAAAAAAAATTTAAGAATTATTGTGGACCATCCGTTCCATATGCCTTTTTTCAATGCGATATCAAAGGTATCTTTAGTGCTCGCACATACACGACAAACGATTCTTAACGAATTTTTTCGAATTTTTTTTGAATGTTTGTTACACAAAATTTAAATTAAAATTTCTTGAATTTCTTTGCTTACTGCACAATTTATTAAAAATGTTGTCAATTTTAATCAATTAATTTATTCGATCAATAATTTGTTTTTATTTCTATTACATGCAATCACTTAAGTATACTGTATGGGTTGGTCTTCTGCAATATATTAAAATTTTCAACATCTGGTTTTCTTGTAATTAATTAATGTCACACGAACTAAATTATATAACTAATCTTTTTTGAACATATAAATGAATTCACTTTCGAAATAATTTTTTATTGTCAATGTCCGGGTGATTCGTGTAACATTTATCTTTGAAAAAAATATTTCGCGTTTTTGCACAATATTTTTTGAACAAAAAAAAGTGACCTTAATTCAAAAAATAAAGAATTTAATTAATTAATAAAAATAAAATATTATTTGAAAGAATTAAAATTGTAAATAAATACAGTATGTCTATTTTTATTATAATTAGCATTATTTATAAAAAATAAATCATTATTTATAAAATATTAAATATCAATTTGTTTCTTTTTTCAGCACTTATTCTATAAGTACTTTGTAATGAAAAGAAAAAAAAAAGCTGATTTAATATTAACTTAAAAAAATCATTTCTTTCTTATTACAAAAATACTTATATTACTATATTTTTTTATTAATTACTTATATTTACTTATGTTTATATTTATTTGTAAAAATTTTTGTTATTAAAAATAATTACTAATATTTATTTAGCATTATTTTTAAATTAAATAAGATATTTTTAATATAAAGTAATATAATTTATAGATTATATATTTAGAATATTCTTTTAATAGTAAAAACTTGTAAATAAATTTTTTAGCAAATTTAATAAATTTAATTAAAATTTAAAATTTTACTAATTAACCTATTTTTTTAAAATATATATTAATTTTAAAGAAATTTATTTTATTTTATTAAATAAATCTTTTTATATATAATTTATATAAAATTTAAAATAAAATTTATATATCTCAAATTGTAAAAATATTATATAATATATAGTATATATTATCTTACTTTATTATATTTAAAAATATATTAAATTAAATTATAATTATAATTTTATATATAACTAAATGTAACCTACTATATTATATTAGATATAAAAGTTGTCTATTAAATTAAGAAAGTAATAGTAATACTGTATATATATTTATAGTATACTCTATTTATTATGTAAATATATCTAGTTTTTTAATATATTTATTTATATAAAAATATTAGTAATAAATTATATATAATATTATATATGAAATATTATTATTAAATACAAATTCTATTTTTAGAATGAAATATTTTATTATTTACAATATTTTTTGTCTTATAATTTTTAATATCATTTATAAGAATTTTAATATTAATATAAAATTATTCTTAAAAAGGTAATATATAATTGACCATATGGGACCTTTGCAATAAAAAAGGAGGAAACGGTTAGAAAAAATAAAAATTGAGTTAATGCTAAATCTAAACATATTTTGACCTAAAAATCATATTTGGCATATAAAAGTAAAATTGATTTTTTTCGGCAGTTTCCTCCCTTTCTATTGCAAAGGTCCCATATATAAAAATAAGTATAGGTAAATAAATATCAAATCTGCTTAAATTTATTTTTATGATTTATTAATTATAATTGCAAATATAATGTGTACAAAAAATTGTTAATAATTTAAAATAAAGGTAGTTTACTTTTTGATGTTATTAGTATAATGTATAAAATAAATAAATATTTATTAATATATAATCCTATTATAATTTTAGCATCAATGACTTTACTTTAAAATTCTTAATAGATCAGTTTAGTTCTATTGTAAAGACTTTTAAATAGGTTTAAATTTTATAAGAATATAACTAATACTTCTTTAATTCATCAGAAAGAAGTTCAGGAATTCTTAAAGATTAGATGAATAAAGTTGAGGTTATTTTATTATATTATTTTATTATATCTTTTGAGTTAATACTGAAATATAAACAAAATTTTCAGGAATTATTTTTATTATCATATCTGTAATATATTAATATTAATATATTCTAAAACTAAAGAATAATTATATTTCTATATCAAAATTGATCATATATATTTTATTATTAATTCTTAAAAGAAATTCTGCAAATTCTTTTTATTTTAAATTTTCTAATAAATTAAAAGATTGCTGAAATCTCATATTAATTAATAATTTAATTATCTTAATATGAATTCATAAGGATAATTAAATTAAACTTGCTAAAATAATATCAGTATAAAGAGAATGAAATATAATAGATAAATTTATTAAATTCTTCTTCAAAAATAAATACTTTTCCTCTAAATGATTTGTCTACCTATATAATATCATAAAATATTCAATTAACTACTTTAAATATAAATTTATATATTATGAGTACTTTATCTTAAATAAAAGTTTAACAATATTAATTAAACGTACTAATTGACTATTATATAATATATTGTATATTAAAAATTCATCTATCTTTAATAAAATTTTAAATTGAGAATATGTTATTCTATTATTATTTAATAATAAAATAATAATTTCAAAGATGCTAATGCTATTGTAATATTACTATGTATTCTAATATTAGTTAGTTAAGTATTGTAAAAAAAAATTTTTTAGTATCAGCTGAATAATCTATAAAAAAATAATCACATTTATTATCATTAACTACTTATATAACTTAATCATATATTTGATATTATTTTTATTTAATAAAGAAGTATTTTAATACATTTGTTTAGCTAATTGAGAAAATTTATGATTTCTTTTCATTATTAGCCTATTTAAATCATTATTAGCAAAATTGCAAATTTAGGTATTTGTTTTTTATTTAGCAATAATAAATTAATAAAATGATAAATCTGATTATAAATAGTAAAATTAAATATCTTACTTCTCTAAAATTCTTTATTTATATCAGTCCCAAAAAATGTATACATATATCAATAGATTGTTTAACTTCTAATATTTCTGCAAAAAATATTAATTTTAGATTCAAATGAAGCATACAGATTTATCAAATATAAAAATAGCATAAATAAAAGTAATAATATAACTTTACTACTAATATAATATATAGTAAAAATTAAAAAATTTAGCTGCTACAGTAGCGGTCATAAGTATCTGACCGCCTCTAACTTCGGCTACAAGTAAGTAAATTCAAAATTTTTTTTTTTATTTAAAAAATACATAACC